GATGTACATAATGCTTTCTTACATGGGGATTTGAATGAGGAAGTATACATGCAGTTGCCGCCAGGATTTAAATCTAAGGATCGAACAAAAGTGTGCAAACTGAAGAAATCTCTCTATGGACTGCGTCAAGCTCCCAGATGTTGGTTCTCAAAGTTAACAACGGCCTTGATACAGTTTGGGTTTGCTCAAACATATCCTGACTACTCTTTGTTCACCTATTGCAAACACAATGTTCGTTTGCACGTGCTAATATATGTTGATGACTTGATTATTGGGGGAAATGATACTACTGCCATTGTGAAATTCAAAGAGTATCTCCATCAGTGCTTCCGTATGAAAGATCTGGGCCCACTCAAATATTTCCTATGGATTGAAGTAGCTCGTGGCCTTGAGGGAATATTTTTGTCGCAACGGAAGTATTCCCTAGACATCATCTCCGAATGTGGATTCATGGGAGCCAAACCAACATCCGTGCCCATTGAACAGAATCATCATCTTGCGTTGGCAAAGAGCGCTCTGATGGAGAATCCAAATCGGTATCGACTGTTAGTGGGACGGTTGATCTACTTGACTATTATACGGCCTGAGTTGTGTTATTGTGTTCATATCCTAGCTCAGTTCATGCAAAGTCCACGACAAGAACATTGGGATGCAGCTCTGCGCGTAGTACATTATATGAAAGGATATCTAGGACAAGGTCTATTGTACCGATCTGATAGCGATCTGCGTCTATATGCCTATTGCGACTCTGATTGGGCAAGCTGCCCATTGACACGATGATCGCTGACTGGCTATTTTGTTCTGCTGGGGCAGCCATCAGTTTCTTGGAAAACAAAAAAATAACATACCGTGTCGCGCTCCTCTGCAGAAGCCGAATATCGTTCAATGGCTACGACAAGCTGTGAGCTGAAGTGGATGAAGAAATTTCTTTTGTCCTTTGGGGTGGCGCATGATGAACCCACGCGTTTGTATTGTGATAATCAGGCAGCTTTGCACATAGCCGCAAATCCAGTGTTCCACGAATGGACAAAGCATATTGAGGTTGACTGTCATTTTGTTCGCAATGAGCTATAGCGTGGGAACATTGTTACTTGCCATGTTCGAACCACAGAGCAATTGGCTGATATCCTGACAAAGGCTCTGGGAAAAGAGAAATTCGCATATTTCCTTGACAAGTTGAGCATCCGGAATCTACATGCGCCAATTTAAAGGGGAGTATTGGGAAACCAGATCTGCACGTAACCTTCCTATCGAAACGCAACCTCCGGTGGGTGCTTTGTATTCCTAGATGTATTTGAACAATCAACTCCTAGTGAAAGTGATGCTCTTATTTTTATATATAGGAATGTACCTTTCAAAATAAGGGAAGAGGAAGAAGAAGAATTTCCGCAAAGTTTTGATCAATGAAGTATTGATCGTCTCTGTGGCGAGGGATTATGGTTCCGTCCAAAAGCTATAAGACAAAACTGGCTGACATTAAAGCACGACTCCAGCAACTAATTGCAACCCAAATACAAGTAAACCCAAATCCCCCTCCTTTTAGTAGCCCACATGATGACAGAGGGAAATAGTCGAAAGACGTCGCAATTAAACGGTGGAGCTCTCGATCAGTAGACACATCAAAGGCTCATGACTTTGATGACAAAATGAAGGAGATAGAGGAATTTCTTTTTGAAGGAGGAATTGATGGTGGGTTCAAGGCTGTAGGAATTGTGCGGATGGGTGGTATTGGTAAAACTGCACTTGCCCAATTGATCTTCAACACACAAGAAGTGAAGAAGCACTTCTGTCCGAGGATCTGGATATGTGTATCTCAAAGAGTACACAAATAGAATGGCATGGAAATCGAAATCAGGAAGGAGATAGTGACGAGGATTCTGATGCATCTAGGGATTGACTGTCCGGACAATAATCTTGCGGAATTACTCTTCATTCTTCATCTATAGTTGATGGGGAAGAGATGTCTAATTGTTTTTTATGACGTCTGGGACATAGACGAGTGGTATGATCAATTGTAATTAGATGTGGGCTTGCCTGAAGGAGATCAATGGAGTAATAGCATCGGAAATGGATTGCCAAAGGACAGCGACGGCCGAGTTGTGGTCACAGGTAAACTTGAAGATGCAGTTAAGAAGATGGTTGGGGAGAACAACTTGCTTCGCATTTTGCCTTGGAACGGGAAGTTGTGGTCACAGCGACGGCCCATCTTCGAGGACACTTCTAAAATTCATGGAACCAATTATGATCATCAAAGTGTGGATGCTATGAAGACCAAAAACATATGAACAGTGTGCATTAATGGCAAAGCAGTTGATGAACAGTGTGTTTTGAGGAAGAAAATGAACAGTGTTCGAGTGCTGAGACTATTTTAATAAAAATAGATGTACAGTGATTCGTAAAAGAATAAAATGGGTATTTTGAAAATAAAATATCATCTCTTTAATATTTTCGGTCTTGATGGAAGGAAGGAAGGTATTTATTGATTTTTTCAAAAATAAAAGAAAGGTTTTTGCTAAATTGATATTATAGAGGAGGTTTTTATGATTGTCAGAAACTTCAGAAAAGATTTTTGTATTTTACAATAAAGCAAAAATAGATATGTCAACAACAAAACGTGTCTTCCACCACGTTGAAAAGATTGGATTCTGATCGTAAAAAACTCCCACAGAAAATTTCTAAAATTTTCGTTGCAATTCTTTAGTCTTCACGTATAAGGTTCGCTACAATATAGGTTATATAAAAATTTATGAAATTTCAGGAATTTAGAGGTTTGCTATAGGTTTCCTTTTGTACAAAAAAGAATTTCAAAGCGGAAATATGAATTACAAAGTGATTTTTCTTTCGTGCAAGAAAGAATTTCTGAAGCTTTTCATTGTGGTGGAAGACACGTTTTAGGGTAAATGAGTCATTGATCAATCTAGATGGTTCCAAAATGGGGAAAGAGGAATAAATGTACTAAAGTTTGTGCATAAACGTTTGGACATCAAGCTAAGGCAAGTATGTCGTTATATGGCAAAAAAATAAAGATAGTCATTAGGTATCAAGAAAAAGAAGGGTCTTTACTTTTTATCTTGCCATGACACGGTAAAGAGCCATTTGACTCAAATTTGTTACAAAGAGGACTCCAAACCCTAAACCCTATAAATTACCTCGTCAAAAATTATGATACAAGGACCAGTCAATATCTATCACCATCACGTATTTTATGTCCCTTCAAGGGCCCACAACTGTTGGGGATGATTAGAGGTGGCCCTTCAAATCAACAACCCTGATTCTGCCCTACACGTCCTTTCCGAGGATGAAGGCAACCGGCATGAGTAGAATATAGACATTGGACTCCCTGAAAAGGTTATGTCGAATCCACACTAACAATCATGGGCTACCACATGAGCTGCCACATTAGATTCTTCATTCATGATATCCATTTACCTTGCATTTGGTGGAGGGACCAATATAAACTTATGGTATGGGTGAGTCAATGACTAGATCTATTTATGAACTGGGTTCAGGTCGGGTTTTAACTCTAGAATACATTTAGGTCTGAGTCCGAGTGCAACCCTGATATAAAATCTAAAGTTCCGGCCTGAGTTCAAAGCCTAGGTAGGAAATTGGGGAAAAAAGATTTTTTTTATTTTTATTTTTTTACTTGTTAACAAAACTGACTTATTATTTATATTAAAAGGCATGACCCAAACCCTAACCTGGTCCAAAAAAATCGAACTTGGCATTTTGGGCCGAAGCCCAAGTACATGGGCCTAAATTCATGTTCAAGTCCAATTAAGAATTGACTAGGCTTGGGTTGGGTTTTTTGAGAAAGACCAAGCCCAGCCTAAAAAAAAAATAGTTTTGGTGTTTTAGGCCCGAGTTCGAACCCATGGGCCTAAATTTGTCCAAACCCAACTAAGAACTAGCCAGGTCAGGTAAACCGTTGGGCTACCCAGCCCATGAACAGGTTTATCAATGACCCAATAGCGGAGATGAACCAGATGGTTACTTGGCATTTCTCTTAAAGTGGAGGCATGGGTTCAAGCCCATGGAATAGCATGCTCTTCATGCTATGGCAAGTGGCTTCACATGCACCTTGCTTTTTCCCTAGCCTTGACTCCCCTATAACTAGGTTTGCAACTTGGGCCAGGTTAGCATGAATCCAGCCCAAAAAATCTAGGGTTGAGTTGAAGTTTGGGTTAGGGTTGAGAAGTATGAAACCAAACTAACTTTCGGTTGATAAGGGTTAAGCCTTGACCAATCCAATCCAACCCAAACCCGACTTAAATTCATGTTTGCATGTGTATGTGCCTATATATATATATATATTAACTTATACCCCTATTTAATTCCTTGTGTAAAATACTTGTCAATAAGTTACATTGTCATTGCTAAGTTGAGTTCATTTTGGCTTGTATATCTGTGTGAGTGTTTCCTTGTACCAATTGATATCTACTTCTTTAAAGCTTGACTAAGTTGACTGTGAGAGAAAGAGGAGTCCCGCTAAAGTGGGAGTCCATTTTAAAAGATCAAAGGTTAAACAGGCCTGCAATTTTGACGGAACTTTTATTTGTTGAGAGGTATATGGGTTGGAGATGTATTGATGGAATGTGACTGTGAGGAGCAGATCCTAATTTGGATGTTAGTGGGTTGAGATAAGTGGTAAACCCGCACTGACATGACCCTATCAGGTTAGAGTTGGATCGGGCTTAGGTTGGGTTCAAGTTGAGGTGGGCCGGTGCTGAGCTTGACCCTTTGACATTAATGCAGAATTAAAATTTTTGTGTATATAGGGTTATTGAGAGCAAAGTGTTTTATATATTGGACGGGTCAGGTTGGATTTGATATTCTACTATGTTGTAATTAGAGCAGATTGGGTTCGGGTTGAACTAAACCTGTATCCAACTTGACTCGTTGACATCCCTAATTGTAACCATGGGTGAGTGGGTGACCATGGGTTGGGGCTGGCTTTTTTTTGTATTTGTGATAAGGGCCCAGGCCCGAGCCTAGCACAACAAGGGTTCTGGTTCTATGAATTTTATAATATTTTATATTATAAAAATTGTTTTATATATTTTGTAATATACAAGTGTTATTTTATAATACGTGTATATAAAATAGGGTAAATTACAAAGACCCCCGTACTATGGGGTCTATGACAAAGACCCTCCTGTATTTTGTCTTGCGACAAAGACCCCCCTGTACTATGACCATGAAACAAAGACCCCATTCCGTTCTGTCAAAATCTATCGTTGTAATATTTTTTAATCCCCATACTATCACGAACGAAGTCCTTCCTCTCTCTCCCCCGATCTCTTTTCTTCCACTTCCCGTTTTTCTCTGGTACAGAGGCTAAGTTCCGTTTCAGAACAAACCGAGGCGATCTGCATAGTAAATGCTGGCACCATCGTGACCGGAGATGGGTTCTCTTCTTAACATACATAGCAGAAGCTGGCACCATCGTGACCGGAGAGAGCAGAGAACCTTCATAGTAAATGCTGGCGCCATTCGGCAATTGCTTCAGTCAATTGCCGAAGTTTAATGAAGGTCAGAGTGAGGGAGAACGTTTTGCTAGAAGTTTCCAAATAAAAGAAAAAACCATTCGACAGGAAAACACGGTGGCTACTCTAACATTCATAATAAACTTTGGCAATTGCTTCAATCAAATAAACGTTCTCCCTCACTCTAACCTTCATAGCAGAAGGTTACCTTCTGATTGTTCTCCACTCTATTTAGTTTCCTTATTTCAAAACACTGGTTAATGGTGTGTTGATGGATATTGGGAGAAGACGAGGTGACGATGAAATTCATGGTCTGTCAATCCACTGAAATTATTAGTGTGATGTTAATCATAAATCCTGACAGGTTCTGATCGTTTTCTCCACAACAACCAACACCTTGAATTCATTTCCAACACGCCATTGGAGGTTTTGTTTCTTTTTCTTTTAATTTATTTATTTGGGGTTTGATTTTCTTAGATTTGCAGCTTTCCATTTTTTTTTTCGTATTTTGGATTTATTGTTTTCTGTATCCTTTTAGGAGTATTGCGAGATTTTCTGGTGTCATTCTTGGTTCTACGAAACTGCTCATTCAGCAGCCCTACTCATCCAGCTGCATTCACAGTTTGTCATGTTCAGCTTCAAGAGTGTCTAGTTATAGGCGCATGCATATTTATATGAACAAACTCTGGTTATATCGGCCTCGCATCAATTAACCTGAGAGAGCTAGGGAGGCTTAGAGGCACAACCCACAACCATAGAAGTTGGCTCCACCGTCGCCCAGGAAAACGCGGTGGCTACTCTTCTTAACATCTCCATCTCCAACCGCGATGTACTCATATCCACTCGCGGCCTTCTTGGTGTGCTTTCCCACGTTCTCCGCCTCTCCACTTCAACCCCTGCCACTGTTCAAACTGCCACTAAGACCCTTTACAGTCTTCTCGTCGTTGATGAGTATCAACTCATTTAGAACTCCAATTCACCTGCGAGGTCGATGAAGGATGCCCTTAAAGCCCTCTTTGGTATCTCGTTTTACCCACTCAACCATGCCACCATGGTTGAATTGGGTGCAATTCCTGCCCTTTTCTCGCTTGTGGTGAAGGACGGCCGGATTGGGGTTATCGAGGATGCTACAGCGATTCAGTTGAGAGGACCAGATGCAATGACGAATTTTGCTACTCCGCCAAAAGCTAAGCAGGAGATACAAGTACCAACCAGTTCTGAATACGATTCCTTCTATTGCTACCTCTGCTACTATGACGTCAGAAAATAGAGGAAATAGAGAAAAAAAAGGGAGGAGAGAAAGGGGAAGGGGAAGAGAGAAATAGAGAGAGAGGACTTCGAAAGTCCGCCGCCGCCGCTGCTTGTGTATCATGAGGTCGGGGAAGATGAACAGTGTTTTTCTTCTAAGGATAATACCGGGATTAAAAAATATTGCAAAGGCAGATTTTGACGAAAGGCTAATAAAAGGTGGTCTTTATCACAAAACAAAATAGAAAGGGGTGAATATATGAATAATATACATATAAACACGTGCGGGTAAATCAGGCCCAGATTGTGCTTGAAATGTTCGGCCCAGGACCGACCCAGAAATTTGTGGGCTTGGGCCTAGGCCGAGCATAAACACAAACCTAAGCTCAAACCTCAGTGTTTTATTAGTTGATCAGATCGGATTTGGATGTTGTTAAATCGGATTCAAACCCAACCCGATTACAACTGTACAGCTTATGTTAAGACAGGAACCTCTGTTATAACTTATAACCAGAAAGAGATACCAATCGAGCCAAACCTCCCACAGTTGGCAACTTTCACCTTTCACGGGACTCTTTGACAGTTTGACTTTGACCAGACCAGGCTTCTTGTATCTGCCTTTGATGAAGAAACTCTTTGAGCCAGCCAGGGTCCAAAATGGACCCAGCCCTAGGTGGGTCAATCGGCATTTTATTTAGGCAAAACCATCCCCTTTTGCCACGTGGAAGGATCCTATGATTTATCTGAACCGTCCATCATATAGTTGATACATTAAAATCTATTTAACAAAAGAATTTCCCAAAAAAAAAAAGAAACAGAAGAAATGAAGAAAAGGCCAAAATCGCAGCCATTGAGCCATTCACTATTACATTATTTGTACGGTGAAGAATCAACTGGTGAAATGCTTTATGAGAATTGTCTACTGATAATTGCATGCACGGTCTCTATCATGCGACGGATTGGACCTTACCAGTAGCCATTGATTGCAATCAAATGGTCACGTGTAGGGCATATGATGCTTGTGCCGCCAATACTTGATGTTCAAAAGAGCACTGTATATCTCCTCACTTTCTGTCTATTTCTTTATTATTTGTAAGTAGGTTGAGCGCTGACGAGGGACTGAAGGAAGAGAACTGCAGAGGAGAGCTGCTGTTGGGGCTTGGGGGAATTGGGGAGTCTTTGAACAAGAATCAGAGTCGCTGTAGAGAGAGAGAGAGAGAGAGAAGCTGAAGCCTTGGGCTTTTTGTAGATTTTTCTTTGCACAAGGTAGGAATAAAGAACAGTTAACTAACTTTATTATGACTCGCCAATTTTCTTTAGTCTCTGAATCTCACACTGAAAATGCTGGATTTGTCTGGGTTTTGTTTGTACAACTGAAATCTGTGAAAAAAATTGGAGTTTGCTAGGCTTCTGCAAAAAGTTCATATTCTTGAGTTCGAGTCCTCGAGAAATCTAGCAACATTTTTCTCTTTTTCGTCATATTTATAATTGAATCCTGGTCTTTGATAATGCTTATTATACTGCTGGTTTTGTTGAAAGCTATGTGCTTTTCTCTGCGAAGTGTCCAAAAGGGGAGACATTCTGAAATGGGTCTCTGTTGGGATATGGCTTGCTCAAGCGTTGTAGCTTTCATCATGCTTCATTCAAATCATATCCTCTGAGTGAGTGATGTATTTCTCATCTGCTTCCTTGAAATGTTGATCATTTCTTCATGAGGTTGTCAACAGATAAACTTTTATGAGATGGGTATCTCTCAAAATCATATTATTGAAGATTTGGGTGTTTAGCTGCTCTTACCGCTTGGCCATTAAATATATTGCAAAAATCTGTTTTTTTTTTTCACTTCTATATCAAAATTTATTGTTTTCATGTTTTATTCTCATTTTCAATAAGAAAAGAGGAGATCGATTGCCTTTTACTTACCCCAAAATATGTTTTCTTCGTACATTTTTAGGGAAGCAGATGAAGTCAATTGAGTTGGTTTTGTGCTAAGATTCACTTTTCTGCATGGGCTTTGTTAATCATTTAGCCCTTTCAGCAGTTGTTGTTAAGCATTGAAAGCTAGTGTAGATGTCTTGCATTTCTTCATGATTTAAAAGATGAGAGCATACAACCTTTCATATGTAACTTAGTAATTGGGGGATGTGCTTGGGTCTTGGGTTTTCTAAATTGCATATACATAAGATGGCTTTTATTAGCCATAAGAATTGCATCCTTTCTCATTATTTTTTTTTGTGTATTTTGATGATAATTGGCTACTCTTTGGTAAAATAGATATGCAATTTAATGGCTCCTCCTCTTATTATCGTTCAAGTAGTGGTATTTCCTCTTATTGTTCTTGTTTCTCTTTGTACCCCCCTCTGCTTTAAATCCCTTTTCACTTGCATCCTGCTGGAGATAAAGAAAAGATGGAAAAAGAAAGAAAGAAAGGAAGAATGAGAATGAATTTGTTGTTGGTTTTTTCACCTCATCTCATTTCTCATGGGATTGAGTCTTGGTGCACCTGGAATTTGTCAGATCTGTCAGGAAAGGCATAAGGAACCAACTTTTTTGGACATTACTCTTTTTTCTTAATTCAGTTTTTTCATTAACTTATGGTATGGAGAGAGAATTTTAGAGGATTTTGGTTGTTGATGGTTGTTTAAAATTAATTGTCTCTAGAATTAAAACTTCTGCCAAAGTTTTCACTATTGTGGACCAACAAACAAATATGCATGATAAAAAATTATTTTATTTGTTAAATACTGAAGGCAGAGTCTTGAATTTGCAGCTCATTGAGATTATCTTGTGAGAAGCTGTTTTAAGAAGAAGCTGGACATGAGTATGTTGGGGGGGACATGCTTGAGCCAAGGGAAGCTGATATACCTGCCTTGTTTTTGGTATTGGTTGTGCTTCCTTTGGTTACTTACATTTTACTTGGAAAGTGGAATGAGTCTGCAAAGAAGAAGGAGAGGATAAGCCTGCTTGCTCAGTTGGCAGCTGAAGAGGATCTCCGTGTAGAAGCAATGGCTACTGCAAGTGTTATCCCTACTTTGCCATCTTCAAAGATTGGGTTTCATGAGTGTGCGAGATGCTTTAGTCCAGCCATCACTCGCTGTTCCAGATGCAAATCTGTTAGATACTGGTATGCCTAGGTTTTTTCTTTTGAGCTACAGGATCAAATTCCTTTCTTTAATTTTACTTGTATCCTTTATATTATATATATATACACACATATATATCCCTCTCATTTAAGCTTCTTTTTATCTAGTAAACATATTATGCTAGTAAAGAAAACAAATGCTGATATATGGGGAATTTCCATCTCTGACATTTTGCTTGGAAATCTTTAATTTCTTTCACCTGCATCTGTTAGTGTACAAGGTAGGTAATGCTCATTCTCTAACCAACTCCTGTATAGGAGTACAGGGCTCATTTAGTTAATAGTTCATTCGCATACTTGTGTAATTGCTTCTCCAACTTTATGTCATGTGAATGTGCTGAATACCTTTAACCACTAACTTCTAATCAAATTGATCCTTAGATTTGAAGGCTTAAAGAACTCTAGTTCAGTAATGTGTGCTTTACTTGAGTCTATACCACTTGTTGGTAGTTCCAAACGGATCTTGTAGACATTTATGGTCTTCACCAGCGAGTCTATGCCACCTATTCAGAGCTCCACCTATGGACTTTATGTTTTTTACCCATATAAGTTCTCATTGAGAATCCTTGGGGATCCAATCTTGTAATTGGGCAATCAAATCTTCAAACCTTCCATATATTTCCTTTATGTAAACCCTTTCTCCTTAAGTGTTTTTTTTTTCCACAAAAACTATAAGGTGGAGTATTTCATTAAAAAAACCAAAAAGTACAGGATTACTCTGTACAAATGATAAATAGCTATCATAATATGACTTTGCATCTGAAACCACATTGCATAACTTTACAAAAATAGCATCCCTATTAAAGAAATTATAGTTTTTTTTTTCTTTAAATAATTTTTGACTTGCCAACCATGAAAAGACCGTGTCCATCGCCTTCCTAATAATCTTATCTACTGAGCTCTGTTTCCCTTCAAATATCTAAGCATTCCTCTCACCCCCACACTACCCATAATATAGCTTCTGGAGTAATACTCCATGCCACTTTGCCAGCTTTACTTGGACCTTTTAGATCCCATGCAGCTAGAAAACTCTTAATATCACTCAGGATCCATTTCCACCCCAAATATATCAGCAATTTTTTTTGATCAATAAAATTTAATTCCTTTGCCGGAACTCGAACCCGGGTCTCTTGGGTGAGAGCCGAGTATCCTAACCAACTAGACTACAACGGAGTTGTATATCAGCATTTTTGTCCATATTCTATAAGAGAGGGGATCTGAATGCCTCCTTCAATTGGATTTGCAGGACAGCTAATGGGATGGCCGATACTCTAGCAAAGCAAGGGGTTTTGGGCAGCAGTTATTCTGGGCTCTATTGTAATTTAGTTTTTGGACATTTGTATTTCCAGGGGGATGGATCCCCAAGCTGTTGTAATTTTTACTCCCATTAATAAATTAATCATTTTTACTGATAAAAAAAGGATGTTCTCTTGGAAAGCAAATTGTCTAGTTTGACTAAAACTATATCGGCTAGTTTACCAACCTATTATTTATCCTTGCTCCTTGTTCTCTCTAAAGTGGCTAAGAAAATTGAAAGTTGGAAAAGGACTTTCTGTGGAGGGGTTGGCAGGAAGAAAATAAGATCCTCTTGGCTAGGTGGGATCAGATGTCACTTTTTTTTGAAAAAAAAATCAGATGATTTCCTATTGCTGAAGGTGGGTCTGGTATTAGAAGAATCAAGGATTTTAATGTGGCTTTGCTAGGGAAGTGGGCTTGGAGGTTTGGTGTTGAAAGAAAGGCTTAGTGGAGGAAATTATTTCCAAAAAAATATGGGGTTTCTTGGGGAGACTGGACCTAAAATGATTCTCTTTCTTCCTATGGCACTTTCCACTTTGGTATGGAAAAGCATCTCCAAAGTGTATAGTGTCTTTTCAGGTGGCATCTCTTACAGACTTGGGGGTGGAAATAGATTGAGGTTCTGGCAGGATAGTTGGTGCACTGATGGGCCCTTTGACCAGATACCTGCAATTGTTTCAGTTAGCTTACAAATAAAGAGATCATGGTGGTTGTCTGGCTGAGGTTTACCACAGACAGGGTGATAGTGTGGTCTGGAGCCCCACCTTTAGAAGGCATTTGCAAGATTGGGAGTTGGGAGTGTGGTAGAACTGCTACAAATCTTGAGCTCCCAATGAGTTAGAGAGGGGCAACAGGATTAATGGTGCTGGAAATGGGATAGAAGTGGCATTTTCTCAGTTGGATCATTTGCCAATCATCTCAGTTATGCTAGCTGAAGTACTTTCATCCATAAGCTCATTTGGAGATCAGCTGTGCCTTAAAAAGTTTTTTTTTGTTGTGGTCTTGTGCTTTTGGGTAGTGCCCTACTAAAGATAACTTGAGTAGAAGAGGCATTCAGATTCAAGACCAATCTTGTGTGTTGTGTGGTCATGACCTTCTGCAGGTGGATCACCTTCTTATTCATTGTCCTGTGGCATATAGAATCTGAATGTATTTTCTTAGAGCTGCAAAGCTTTGTAGGGTTACACCTTGAACAGTATGTGATCTGCTTTCATGGAGGCAACCTCAGGGTTTGAGCAAGCAAGTGAAATTGATTTGGGGAATGGTGCATCTGCAGTAATGTGGTCTATTTGGACTGAGAGGAACTATAGAATTTTCAAAAACAAATATAGATCTGAGGAGGACCTCTCTAGATTTGTGAGCTGCAAGCTTGGATCTTGGGTGGCTGCTACTAATGATTTCTCTCATCTGTCTTCTATTCAGATTTTGTACTCTGTTTATTTGTCGAATGGTTGATGTGTTTATTGCTCCAGTAAGGAAGGCATAATCTTGTGCCTCTCCCGTGTAGCATGTTTCATGATTATTAATAAAATTATTTTACCTTTTCAAAACAAGGCAAAGCACAGAAGTACAAGTATAGTATACATAGACTTGTCTTCATCTATTGTGAACATATAACTTTTAAATTGATCTTATTACATCATATGGCCTTTCTCAATTTGCTTTTCATGATTGCTGAACCAATCACCTATGTGCAGTTCTGGTAAATGTCAAATACTTCACTGGAGGCAAGGTCATAGGCAAGATTGCTACCAATTGGGGGCCCCTGGCTCAAATTCATCTCCTAAGCCTGTCTCAATTGAAGACTCTGTTGACCAGAGGACTTTACTAAATGAAAACTTGAATAAGCTATTCTATGGATATGAAATTAAGCAGCAGGAAATCACCTCTCCAGATAAACCAAATCATGCTCCTATTAACACAGCTATTGCTTCTACCACTACCACTACTACTGCGGTTAATGCATCTGAGGTTTCTTTGCTCGAGGGAAAGCTGCTAGACAAGCAGGTTTCTAGTAGATCCAAAAGAGAATGCTCAAGAAGCGAGGATGTTGCATCACATGGATCTTCTCAAGAAGCCTACAATAGTAGGGTTACTGATCCAACACTGCCTAATATTATATCCTTGAAGGAGATTTCTTTGAGGCATAAGGTTCTTGTAATTTAAGTTGTGTTTCCTTTAAGATTGTATTCCTTTTTCTGCAATTTTTATGCATCTCCTTACTTTTGCATTTCTTTCATGGTTTCAGTTAGGAAATGATGATCTAGTTGTATCTTCAGAAGAACCTTCCTGGAAACACCATGCCAACAGTCCTGTGGTCATTCATGGAAGGAGTGTTCCTAGAAGCACTAATCATGAAAGTCACAAGTTAAGAGGAGAAAATGGATGCATATTTCAGACAGGCATTGACTCTCCTATCTCAAACTCCTTAGAGAAGAATAGGACAAACTTGGGTGAAACTGAGAAGGGCTTCACCTTGAACAATGATAATTTCCTTAGGGAAGGATTGACTTCTAATGATGAAGCATCATACTTGAACTCTTCCCCTGAAATAATCTCAGTCAAGTCAAGCAGAAAACTTAAGGGTATCTTACACCCTTTAGAACCAAAAAGTTCTAGCTCACCAAAATCTGCGCTCAAACTAGAAAGGGAAAATGCATGCTCAGGTGTAGGGAGAAAGGGGAACACAGCAAATGAATCAAGTGGGTTGTGCCATTTTCTTTTCAAGATCTATGTGGATGTATTCTTCTAAACTAGCATGATTTTATCACTGCTAATTCTCTTGCTTTTATGCAGAAATCCATCAAGTGAATGCTTTGATGGATATCCGTGCACAGAGCAGCAATGGTGTATCAGATACTGGAATTATGAAGATGATGGGCCTAAAGAAGTCACCTAAAGTTTCTAGACAGGGTGTTACAGGGGCTACTAGAGATACTCATAAGAGAAATAAGGTGTAATCTTTGACAAGAGAATTGTCTATTCAGTTATTTTCTATTTCTAGGTATACATAGTAACCCGTTTATTCTCTGACAATTTAATGGCTCAGGTTCTTTTCCCTTATGAGGAATTTGTAAAGTTCTTTCAATGTGAAATCTGGGACTTGTATCCTAGAGGCCTTTTAAACTGTGGGAACAGGTAACGTCATAATCTTTTTTTTTAATCTATGAACAATCAAATATTTTACTAGATTTTTATAAGAATGTTATAAAACAGAAATGTACCAAGCACCCTTTTTTGTAGGCTAGCTTCTTACCTACCCTTTGCTTTGTATTGACTATTTCACAACTAGTTCCCCAAATAAGTCATCATGATCACAATGATGATGATGATTCATCATCACCTAAGCCTTATCTCAACTATATTGGGCCAGCTACATGAATCCTGTTTTGTCATTCGGCTCTGTTAGGTGCCATATCCATTGTTAAATTATTAGCGCTTAACTTTTTTTTTTTTTGAGAAGAGGTAATGTAGAATTTTATTAAATAGAACTGCAAATTACAACAGCAGCCCCCAAAAACAAGGAGCCATACACACTAGAACACACTACATCATAACTCAAACAGATTCCTAGATCTCAATTGAGAGTTAAGGACTGAGTTCTGAAGACCCTTGGCCGCTGCAACCCAGGAAATGATTTTGGAAGATCCTCCTATTTCTTTCAGACCAGACTGTGCAGAAAATGGTGGCAGGAATGACTCTCCAGGTACACCTTCCTTTATTCATGATTCAACAACCCAGCAAAAGAGCTACCAGAGAATAAACCATCAGCACTGTATTTCCAGCTCCAAGAATCCTCAGCCGGCAAGTCTATGGATTGCCTGTACAGCAACTCCAAAAGCTCAGAGACTTGATCAATTTCCCAATCTTGGAATGGCTTTCTAAATGATGGGCACCAAGCAATAGTGCCGTCACTCACTTCAAAATAGTTAGCCACTGATAGGGGTGCAACTTTTGCGGGTTAAGGTTGGGATTTTGTCAAAATTCTAATGGACCCAACCCGAAGCCCAAGCCCAAAACAATGTAAACTGTTGACTCGGGCCAACCCGACTTGCACCCCTAGCCACTGAGTCATTCTGGTTTTCAGCAATTTGAAATAAATGGGGGAATACTTCAGCAAGAGGTCTATTGTCACACCAAATGTCCTTCCAGAACCTCAGCCTGTTCCCATTTCCCACCTTTGGAGACAGACCTCTGTTAAACCAAGGGAGAGCTTCCATAACTTTCTTCCATGTGGAGCAGCCTAAGGAGTTCATCTGAGTAGTGGTTACCCAAACCCCACTGTCAGTCTCATATTTTGCCGCAATTAATTTCCCCCACCACCTATTTTTCTCTTTCTCAAATCTCTAAATCCATTTTCCTAAAAGAGCCAAATTAAACAACTTTAGCTTCCTGATCCCCAAGCCCCCGTTCTCCTTAGGAACATGTACCTGATTCCAATTCACCATTTTTCCTCCTCAAACATCACCACATTGAAGTCTCCTCCAATAACCCAAGGCAAATCGGAGTTACCTCTGGCTTCTGACAGATCTTCCCACAGCCTCTCCCTCTCCCCACTTTCCATGGAACCATATGCATTAATTAAAAGCCCTTGGAATCCACCCTCCAACTCCAACACCATTGACACTGCAAACTCACCAACATGAGAAGAAATTAGGTTGCATTACAACCGGTCCCATAAAACTAGAATACCTCCAGCACTGCCCCTGGCAAGCTTACTCACCCACCTCACCTGACCTTGACCCCATAAGCTTCCCCCCAACATCAACTGCTTCCAGCTTTGATTCTTTGATGAAGACCACATCTGATTTCCAACTTGCTCAATAAATTACAAACCACCGTTCCCCTTTGCCCGGAGCACAAACCCCAAACATTCCAAGATAATAGAGTCAAATCCATTTAAAACAAAGAACCCACCTCCCTACATCCCCTTAACTACTGCCTTAGATCTCTCTTGGCTGGAAAGAAGTCTTTCACCACTCCATTAATAAGAATGGAATAGTTTTTTGACTTAATACAACCTTTTATCTACTTCCTCCACCTTTTTCCAAACTCTAGCCTCTCTAGGATTTCTATCAGGAAGTTCCAGTTCACTAAGTCATAGACCTTTTCCAAACCCAACTTATAGACCAAACATTTTCCTCTTTTCCTTTTCTTAACAACACATTCATTTGCTACAAGAATTTGATCCACAATTTGTATCCCTTCCACAAAGGCCCCTTGGAATAGTGAAATTATTAAAGGTAAAACTTGCTTGATCCTTTCTAAAAGAACCTTTGAGATGATTTTGTAGAGTCTCCCTATTAAACTGATTGGTCTAAAATCCTTGGGAGATTTTGCCGCCTCCTTAGGTATTAGAGAGATAAAGGTAGCATTTGCTCTGAAGGGGATAAAAATTCTTCAAACACTTCCAAGAGATCAACTTTTAGGAAGTCCCAAGTCCCAACACTCTTGATAGAAGGCCATATAGTAAACCCATCTGGTCCTGGGGCTTTATATCCATCCATGGAAAATATTGCCTCCTTAATTTCTTCTAAGGAGAAATTTCTTTCCAACCCTTGGGGATGTTCCTATGAGGTTTCAATCCAATCTAGTTCTGGTAATCTTGCCCTAGAACCTCCGGAGACCGAGAGAAGATTCTTAAAATGGTTGACAAAAGCCTTTACAATCTCTTAAGGCTCCCTTAATTCCTGACCTTCCATTTCCACACTAAGAATGTTTCTTTCTTCTTCCATTAGCCATTGGGTGAAAAATTTAGTGTTACCATCCCCTTCTACAATCCACTTAGATCTAGATTTCTGTCTCCAACAAATCTCTTCCTTCCTTAAGATTTCCTCTAGTTCAACCTTGTTTCACCTTTCCTCCCTCTCCTCCTGTGACATGGTTTTGAGAGCCTCTTCTCTATCCAACTCTTCAATCCTAGAGGTGATTATTCTTTGATTTGTTCAGTTCTTGCAAAGTGCCCCTTGTTCCAAGCCTTTATTTTTGCCTTTAAATTCTTTAGTTTCCAACTGAGTCTCTATTTCCTTTCTTCCCAAAGGTCACGGTTCTCCCCACCAAATCTTTAACCTCCGTTTAAAGGAGGGATCCTCCAACCATATATTTTCAAATCGGAAATGTGAAGGACCTCCATAGAGGATTTCCCTCTCAATACAGATAGGACAATGATCAGAGGTCACTCTAGGAAAGGATCTAGAAGTTAAGGTCCCAAACAAATCCTCTCATTCTAGGGAGAACATGAATCTATCCAATTTAGAGCAGATTGGGGGGGGATTGAAACTTTGTCCAAGTAAAGTCTGCTTGTAGTAGAGGAAGTTCTTTTGGTTCCAAAGCATCTATAAGATTGTTAAAGTTTCTCATGCTAGCCATAATGCTTTGGTTTAGGTTATTTGATTCGCTCGAAAATCTGATAACATTAAAATCACTCCCTAAACACCAAGGGCCCTCCCAAACTCCTCTAATGGTAGACAACTCCTAGAACAAATCTCTCTATATGAGTTGGGGCTATAGACGTTTGAGGGTTAAAGTGTATATAAACTGGGTTGGATTAGTCGATGAATGAAAATTCACTAGTAGTTATTTGTACCTTTGTGTGGGCAAGGCATACCTAATCACATGGTGATGAGATGCCGCTCACCTCGGAAGCCCCTTCAAGGGTGGCTTAACCTCCTGAAACAGAAAGGGTTGAAGAACAGGGATGGGAGGAAGAAGATAACAGAGAGAGAGAGATAGAAAAAAATATTCATTCATACCACTTATTACATGATCAAGGCCTTATATAGCTGGCCTACCGGCGCAATCATGAAGAAAATATCTTCTGGTGGCAGTGTAACTAACTCTGGAAAGGCTCTGCCAGCGTGGCATGCTAGCCTCTCTGTCTTCTAGTGAAATGCTGATTGGTGGAGGTTTGCTCCATAGTTTTCAAGGCGACGCCTAGGCGACTAGGTGCCCTTTGAGGCTTGCCTTGCCTAATCGCCTAACAGTTTTCTACTTCCTACTATAAAATACTTTTTTATTCATTATTTTTTGAGATTATAATTATAAAATAGACATTATTAAACTAAAATAATCATTTTGTGTGTTTATATAATAATTTCTTTTTATTATTTTCTTATTTATTAGGGTTTAATCAACACAAACATTGCTAAATGCTGTATTGAACCCTCAA